AAAAAAAAAAAAAAGTAGCAAGTAGCCTAGGACATTCTACTAATGACAATCATTGTAATTTTCCATAAAGTGAACAGATAAACAAACACAGATAAAACAAAGGTCTGAGGTACTGTACAAAATGCTTTGTCTATGCATTAAAACGCCTACTCCTAAAAAAGAAAAAAAAATACACAGTACTACATACATGCTTCACTTTACCAGTTAATTTGACATTTTGTCAATTCAAGAAACATAGAACCGTTACCTCTTTTATAGCAGACATTTTAACTGTTTCGTAGTAGTGCAAGGGTGCATGAGGGGTGTTCATGTCATAGCCAAATCCAGCAACAGCAACCTCATCGCAGTTATGAAGGGCCATTGTTATGGCGACGGTGCCCAACGTTGGAATGTTCTATGGAAATAAGCACAAGTTGATCATCTATCAAACTGTCAGATTATAAAATAAAGCAGCATTTTAATATTTTACTATCAGGTTCTTAACATGCAAGCTGTTCTCTGGTGAAAAGAGTAAAATCATCCACTGAGCTGCTCTGCTCCACAGAGTCTTAACCTAAACCACAATACAAAGTCTTGTGCTTGTTTTGTGAATCATAGCATTCAAATATTGATGCAAATCATATGTTAGACTTGATAACAGACAAGAAAATACAGTTATTGCTCGTTTAATAGTGCATGAAGTGCTAACATGCCATAAGCACTATATTCAACATTTCTGGCATCGCTATCAAATCTGAAGTGTTGCAGCAAAATAAATTATATTTTAATATAATTATAAATTGTGAGTTTGCATTCTGAATTGAATGGACTGTGTACACAATAATAGAATCTCATCACAAACACATGCTGTATTTGCTTTAAGCTTTAGCATGCAAAGACATTAATTTCGACCATTAATGTACAAATGGCTCTTGTGAGACAGTTCTTTTAGTAAATCAGTCAAAAAGAATGATGATCTCACAACTCCATCAAAGTGGTTTCTTAATTAACAATGCACTAACTGACTGGATATGTGTGTAGAAAAATGTATATGTGTGTAGATTATATACACACTCACAAAAGGACTTTGGTGTAATAATGTAAAAATTATCTGACTACATTAACAAAAAAACATGACACAAATGTAAAAAAAATTAAACCTACTAAATAAGAGAAATACACACACACATACAACCACAAATGCGTGTGATTAACAATTTGCTTAAACAGACCCCCACCCCTGACATTCCAATTTCAGGAGGCAGACCTTCACTTCCTCATCTCCCTGGAGGAGTCAACCATTCTAAATCATTAGCTTGCAGTGGCCTGGGGTCTAATTCACACACACACATACATACACACACACGCAATTAGCATTAAGATTGTGTCAGTGTATGCCGCCTTAAGCAGGTGGGTGTCTGGCGTGCTCAAAGGTGGAGGCTGTCAAAATGTATCCCACCTTGATCAGTACCGTATGGGACAGCTTCCCTCCTGCGCTGCCCCCCTACCTACACAAACCTTAGGGGCCTGGGCGTTGCTCCACGTGCACTGCACATGTTACACCATTTAGAGGAGGTCTGAGTTTTCAGGAGGTGGCCAAGATCACACACAGACTCTTGTCTGTACTCATGCCATGATGGGATGGCTGAGAGCTTCAACAAGCTATGATGCTAGTGGCATTTATCTACTTTCTCAAGTCCAATTTCCTGGGTCTGAAAGGAAAGCATGTTTTTATGAGCTCCTAGTAAGCGAGTACTCTTTGTTATAGCCTGTGTTTGAGGTCTGAGGCATCCACACACAGTTCTTTTATGACAATTCCAATTCCCTGTAGGCTATGGCACACCCAACACCCATGTCTAAATAAACTGTGTTTGCAAATGGGGTGGGGGTTCTGAATGCAGCCACATTTATGACACGTTAATAGTAGAATTTAGCATGTCAAATTATATACAGGCAGATTTGTTAAAGGGGACATCAGATGCCCATTTTCTACAAGTTGGTATGATTCTTTAGGGTCTTCATGAAATGTCTGGAACATACTTAGGTTAAAATTCCTCAATAGTTGTACCGTTTCGGTGCATGTCTCTTTAAACGATAAAGACATGGGAATTGCTGCCTCGGACTCTGTATATGGCTCGGAAGTGGTCTTCTTCAAATAGCTAGCTATCTACGTAGATACCGGCTGCAAGCTGAAACAGCTCATTGGATGACACAGTTTCAGACTCCAACAGCCCATAACAAACTGGCTGTGTGTTTTCTTTTCAGATTTTCTGAGCTGGCAGACACACCAGAAACCTAAGTAAATGCAAAAAAAAAAAAAAGCTAAAAAAATAAGTGAACATTTCTTCCGATGTGCCCTTTTGTTAATGAAAAAAAGGGAAAGAAAGAACAAAACAAAAAAGGTACTGAGTGTGAATTTGAATTTAGTAAAGTGAAAATTCAACAAAATTTAACAGGTATTGGGAAATTAAATGCTCTTCTACCCTGGCAGAGAAAAAAATCTTACATTTATTAAATATAATAAATTTAAAAACTAAATACACATTTCTATCCACCTTATTCTTTAATGCGGAAGTAAGCCGTTTTCAGGGAATTTGCGAGATTTCCGGTTCATTAGCCGCTGTAGGGAAATAACGAGAAGAACAACAACGTGCAGCAAACTGTAAAACTGTTTGCACTATAAACCAGTGTGTTCATAATTAAGATAATACATTAAAATAATATGGTAAGACACACCAATTTGCAATATCAAGCAGCAAAACGAGCTGTTTTGTACAGCTAAAAATAGCTGGACGCGGATGACACTGGAAGCCTGACCCATAACATTTACAAATGGCCCACTCTTACGGGAAAAATAAAGTGGATAGGTGGCATTTCAAAAATGACCTGTTAGTATCAAAGGATTATAAAACACTGAAAATGTCTTCATTTTAATTCTTCTTAAGTTCAAATAGCAATTCTGCATCCACTTGCTACCCCAATTCAAATTAAACTCAAATTCAGTAATTTAATTGGATTTAAAAGTTCTTAATTTAATTCTAAATGGCACACAATCCTGATCACTATAGCTTGAGCAACATTTACTCTACATGTGAGGTATATCTAGCCGATAAAATTATAAATTAAAATAATAAATACAATAAAATAAAATGTTTCACTGGCCATTCATCCAAGGTGTTTCCCTGCCTATAGCCGAAGACACTAGAATGTCCCCGCAACACAGAACAAGTGGTTTGCAAAATGGATGGAATTATGGAAAATACAACTTATGTTTAAAAGCCTTTGTTATTTATACTGGCAGTTTTATTTAATTTAACTCAAATTACACATGCCACATTATTTTGAGAACTTATTACTTTTTAAAGCATTTTAATGTTAGGTACTGCATAAGGTTTTAAAACACAGCTTTGTCTAGGTTTGGACAAAATACACTGCATAAGCTCTCCCCACCCATTGGATTAGTCAAGCTACCTTTGACCTATGGTGATCTTTATGGTAATTACAGACTAATTGAGGAAACACGTGTCTAAGGCTTCCTGTGACCCCTATTAACATTAGATTGACTAAAGGCATTGCCTGCCATTTTGGTTCAACAAACCGGGCAGTCCAACAGTTATTCTCAAAGAGCTACCAGTTCTAGCAGAGTCGCATTCTCTTGCACTCAATGTGCTCAATGTAAACAATGTTATGAAAAGTACCGAAACTGAAGCATGTTGCTTACCCCTTTACCCATGAGGCCATTGTTCTGTGGAAGGCCAATAAACTGGAAGGCAGCCTCTTGTATAAAGTAGGGGTTGAGGATCCGAATCTCCGAGGGTTGCCGGGGCACAGAGTGTGCTACAGACTTCCAGAAGCCCTCTGTTCCTTGCTAAATAATAATAATAATAATAAAAAATAAAAATAAAAAACAGAGAGAGGCATTATGATATGGGCAAATGAGTCTGCACATCCAAGTTCGCATAATGAAAAATGCATGGAACATTTTTATATCATCTTACAACAGATGTGAAGAAATCATCTCTTCCATAATCATGAGTTCTGACCCAATACCTATAATGTGCCATCACTGCATAATGATGGCGGTAGTGCAGACAGCTTTCATTAAAAGTGAAGCAGGCCGTCCAGGTTGGACAAGCCCAAAGGAAGTGGACAAATGAAATCCTGACCTCCACGAACGTTCGGGGAGCAGCGGCCCCCAGCTTCTCCCATAACAATTACTCAGGAGACCTGCAGAGTGCCATAGCTCAGCAATTATTCAATCTGCGATCTGGCACTGAGATCATCAGGTATTAGCGTCTTGACTAGACAAGCTCTGCGAAGCCACGGCAGCACTGCTGGCAAACAGCCAGCCGGGTCATCGGACTTAATGGGAGTCACCTGTTCAAATAAGCAGACTCTGCCTTTGATATAACCCAACAATAGGAGCAGCTATTGAGCTAGGCGAATGGCTTTGAAGCAGTTTTGGAGGGCCCCGCGCCCACAACAAGCCATGGCAAGAAAACATCATCTCTTCTGTCAACAGTAGGGTTTTGCTGAACAGAAGCAGAAATTCTGTGGAATGCTGCAACCACAAGCAGGTGTAAACAGGGAAAAACCTGACAACAACAATAAAAATCACAGATTCGGGCGCACATCTACCCAACCACCAAGACACCGTATCCAGCATAGTGTGTAGTATATATTGGATACATCTCGCAAAACTGAAGTATGCCTTTTTCCAGAACGTAACAGGATTTAAAACAGAGTGCGGGTAAACACATGGGAAATGTGCTGGCATCCAGCACCAGTAGTGTTTGGTATAAGAGTGATAGGTTGTTTAAAGGGTTAGTTCACCCAAAAAAGAAAATTAGCTCATGAATTACTCACCCTCAAGGCATTTACTCACCCTCATGCGCAACGCCGACCTCATACGTCATCAGCCCGGAACTGCTTCCACGTACAACTGTTGGTGCAAGCTAGATTAAAGTGATTTTGGACTGATTTTAGAAAAGAAAATTAGAATTTTTTTTAAAATAACTCCGATTGGATTTGTCTGAAAGAAGAAAGTCATATACACCTAGGATGCCTTGAGGGTGAGTAATTCATGGGCTAATTTTCATTTTTGGGTGAACTAACCCTTTAAATAAGAAATAAAACAGGAAGTCCCTGATAGATTCTGTTAAAATCACGTAGCACAAGTGAGGATGTCTCCTTAAGCTTTGACATTCCATCCAGTGCATTGGGCATCTCACAGAGAGGGTAAGAATATTTCCCTGTCTAAGGACAGGTTTAATACTGTACAGGAGGTGCTCTTGTGACTTACATAACAGAGTTGCTATGGAAAAAAAAAAGAGAGAACATTCCTGGCTAGACTGTAAATAATGACCGTAAGATTCAATCTTTCATCGAAATCATTGAGTGTCTACAGAAGCTTAGGTTCAGCTTACTCCAAATCCTTTCAAACAACACTGAATATTGTATTGATTTGTTTGTCTATTCATTCACTATTCATGTATTCATTAGATATTAAGCACTAAAGGCTGCCAGCACTAATAGTCTCGCACAGGCGTGTTGAAGACAGTGACTTTTATAAGCAGTTATTAAATGCCCCAATCAAACACTCTTGTGTTCGGTGGGACAATAAAACACTAAACACAGTTTATAACTGCTGCTGTCAAAGCTAAATTTCAAATAAATCTTCTTCTAAATACATTTAAAAAGATTGACACATTTCACATAGTTATAGAAATAATAAGAAATGCATAAAAAGAAAAATAGAAAAAATGCTTGCTTTAAAGCAACTAAATATACAAGTACAGTTATTTATATTTCCATGCTCACATATATCTGTACAGTTGGAAACAGTACTGGAAAATGTCAATTGAAAATACAAAGAGCACAGTGAAATATCAAGACATCTGAACAAGCCCAACCCAAGAGTCAGCCTGGTGACAGACTAGTTAAACAGGTTAAAGGGGTCATATGATGCGATTTCAAGTTTTCCTTTCTCTTTGGAGTGTTACAAGCTGTTCGTGAATAGATAAGATCCCTAAAGTTGCAAAGACTAAAGTCTCAAACCCAAAGAGATATTCTTTATAAAAGTTAAGACTCGTCCACGGCTTCCTAAAACGCCTCGTTTAAACACACCCCCACATGTCTACGTCACTGTGTGGGAAGATTTGCGTAACACCACCCAAATGTTCACGCAAAGGCACAACTTTGATTCTCGCTGTAGCATTGTTGCCGTGTCGTAGAGACGCTGTGTGTTTCGTTATGAAAGCGAAACTACTTTGTTTGGCCTTCCAAAAGAGGACACAACTAGAAATCAGTGGTTAAGTTTTATTTACAACACATTTCCAGAACAGTCCAACCCAAATATTTAGATGTGAGCAATGCATTTTACGGAGGGCGAGGACTGTTTCCTGGGAGAGGTATAGCCTACAATGCTGGTGTTCTGACAAATAATGCTGGGCATAGAGGAGAAACAATAATGTTCAGTGTGTGGAAAATAATGCTTTTTTAACCTTAAACCACATAAACACATTTCATTACACCAAATACACAAAATAATGTTCTTTTTTAGCAACGTCATATGACCCCTTTAAATAGATGAGTGTCTACAGAAGCTTAGGTTCAGCTTACTCCAAATCCTTTCAAACAACACTGAATATTGTATTGATTTGTTTGTCTATTCATTCACTATTCATGTATTCATTAGATATTAAGCACTAAAGGCTGCCAGCACTAATAGTCTCGCACAGGCGTGTTGAAGACAGTGACTTTTATAAGCAGTTATTAAATGCCCCAATCAAACACTCTTGTGTTCGGTGGGACAATAAAACACTAAACACAGTTTATAACTGCTGCTGTCAAAGCTAAATTTCAAATAAATCTTCTTCTAAATACATTTAAAAAGATTGACACATTTCACATAGTTATAGAAATAATAAGAAATGCATAAAAAGAAAAATAGAAAAAATGCTTGCTTTAAAGCAACTAAATATACAAGTACAGTTATTTATATTTCCATGCTCACATATATCTGTACAGTTGGAAACAGTACTGGAAAATGTCAATTGAAAATACAAAGAGCACAGTGAAATATCAAGACATCTGAACAAGCCCAACCCAAGAGTCAGCCTGGTGACAGACTAGTTAAACAGGTTAAAGGGGTCATATGATGCGATTTCAAGTTTTCCTTTCTCTTTGGAGTGTTACAAGCTGTTCGTGAATAGATAAGATCCCTAAAGTTGCAAAGACTAAAGTCTCAAACCCAAAGAGATATTCTTTATAAAAGTTAAGACTCGTCCACGGCTTCCTAAAACGCCTCGTTTAAACACACCCCCACATGTCTACGTCACTGTGTGGGAAGATTTGCGTAACACCACCCAAATGTTCACGCAAAGGCACAACTTTGATTCTCGCTGTAGCATTGTTGCCGTGTCGTAGAGACGCTGTGTGTTTCGTTATGAAAGCGAAACTACTTTGTTTGGCCTTCCAAAAGAGGACACAACTAGAAATCAGTGGTTAAGTTTTATTTACAACACATTTCCAGAACAGTCCAACCCAAATATTTAGATGTGAGCAATGCATTTTACGGAGGGCGAGGACTGTTTCCTGGGAGAGGTATAGCCTACAATGCTGGTGTTCTGACAAATAATGCTGGGCATAGAGGAGAAACAATAATGTTCAGTGTGTGGAAAATAATGCTTTTTTAACCTTAAACCACATAAACACATTTCATTACACCAAATACACAAAATAATGTTCTTTTTTAGCAACGTCATATGACCCCTTTAAATAGAAAATAGTAGTACTTAATGAAGTGAATGATCTAAGACTGAACATTTCTATAAACCAGGTATAGCATTCCTGTAGCTCAAAATGTATGGCACTAGCAACACAGAGATCATGGGAAATATATAAATATACTGTACATGTATATACACACACACAACCATTCAAAAGCTTGGGATAAGATTCTATTTTATTTTTTAAAAGAAATCAATACTTTTATTCAGCAAGGATGCATTAAATTAGTATGTGACAGTATTAGTGACATTTTGGGAGAAAAAATATAATTATGTCTTTTTTGGTATAATTCATTAGACTTTTTTTTTTTTATTTATGAGACAGAGAAGTGACAAAAAAATGTCGGCGATACACACCAGGTCTTATCTCCAACAACACCACTGTTCATTTTAGGAAATTATTACTTATTGACGACTGTTTTCAGAGCACTGCACCAGCCTGATTCTGGTTTGCATTACAATCCCACCAAAGTTAGACAAGGTCATTCTAAACATAGCTTTATTGTTGACATCTTCTACATTGGTTCCGCCTGGCTTTACTCCAGACCTCTCATCGGCATTCCAGGGAATCACAGCCAGGAGTGCAGAGAAAGAAAAAGTGAGTGAGAGATACCCTGACTGATCACCTCTCTAAGCCCTCAAAACCACAAGTCGTCTGCAGTGCAGGAACTTTAACAACCGCCACACTTTTGTCAAACAGGACAGCCCCTGAAACTGATCCATCTAATAAAGCAGCAGGTGAGAGAGGCCTCTCAATTCCCGAATGCAGCTCCAGCACCCCCTTAATAAGCTTTCAGCATGGCTGCCGAGTATTAAATCACTCCATAAAAATCACAGGCCACATCGCCGGCCTCTTTCTCTCCATCAGTCGCTGGAAACGAGAGGTCAGGGTGAACGTTCAGCGGTGGCTGGGAAAACCTGCTTCTGACTACAGATGTGTGGTGGGAAGAATCTTCCCAGGAACAACTGGGGAGAGTTTTCTTTATTAACAAAAAATATTAGCGTTGACAAACCAGGAAAGCAGAGCCTGAATTAACATTTTAGAATTTTGACATGTAAAAACCAGCTGTCATGTTTT